AAAGATAGAAAGGACAATAGATACACATGTAAACAAGCATCTCAAATTAAAATAGATTAGTACTTACATACTATTGTGTTGTAAAGAATAGTTTGTGTATCACAGATGAACGAACGAAATTAAAGATAGAAAGGACAATGAATACACATTTAAACAAGCATTTCAAATTAAAATAAATTAGCACTTACTTCCTATTGTGTTAAAAACAAGAGATTGTGTATCACAGATGAACGAAGGAAATTAAAGATAGAAAGGACAATAAATACACATGTAAACAAGCATCTCAAATTAAAATAGATTAGTACTTACTTCCTATTGTGTTGCAAGGAAGAGTTTGTGTATCACAGATGAACGAAGGAAATTAAAGATAGAAAGGACAATAAATACACATGTAAACAAGCATCTCAAATTAAAATAGATTAGTACTTACTGCCTATTGTGTTGCAAAGAAGAGTTTGTGTATCACAGATGAACGAAGGAAATTAAAGATAGAAAGGACAATAAATACACATGTAAACAAGCATCTCAAATTAAAATAGATTAGTACTTACCCGCTATTGTGTTTGAAAAAAAGAGTTTGTGTATCACAGATCAACAAAGGAAATTAAAGATAGAAAGGACAATATATACACATGTAAACAAGCATCTCAAATTAAAATAGATTAGTACTTACTTCCTATTGTGTTGTAAAGAAGAGTTTGTGTTTTTAGTATCATAGGCAGATTAATAAAAATGAACGAGTATAATACTGATATTATTTTTAGGACTAGATCTATTTACCTTTTCCTGTAAATCAAGAGTAATAGTCTAATTATTATTATTTATAATAAATTTTATGTACCATGAGTTGATTTAGTCCACTTCAGAAAATGACAACTTTTCAGGTTACTTCCTGTCATCCATGATCCAGTCCACTCCACCCCTTTTCTCTGTTATATTTAAGAATTGTAATCTATCATTGATTTATACAATAAATCTAATCTATCATTGATTATACCAAATCTATTAGATTAGCTTTATATTAACATTCTGCATTCTTTTTCTTCACAATAAATAAGCTTAAGCCCAACATACACTATGCAACATTTGTTGCAAACAAAATGTTGCAACTTGTTGCATGCAACACAGTTTATACAGGAGTCAATGGAGCTTGCTGCATTTTGCATGAAATAGGAAACAGTTCTATTTCATGCAACATGTTGCAAGCTCCATTGACTCCTATATAAACTGTGTTGCATGCAACATTTTGTTTGCAACAAATGTTGCATAGTGTATGTTGGGCTTTAGTCATACACTGAATTAAACTCAATTGCTGATAAAATCAATCAGAGGCAGGATCTACTAGTTGCTCATAAGTAAAATTGGCAAATGACAAAATCAACAACAACCATGAATGACATCAACACAAACTAATAAAGAATCCATCATTACAGATCATTACATTATTATATAGAATATGCAGAGAACTGAATTGTTGCACTCACTTCCCTCTTGTTCTAATAGAAACATGTAGGGACATCACAGAACTCATAAATATTCCACACAATCTGAGCTTGTATTGCATA